GGAACAAATTACTTTCTTCGAGTGGTCCTTTTTTTTTTGACATATTTTCTGGCATGCTTTCTGGCATTCGCATTTTATCTCATATATTTTCTGCTATTTTTCCGGCATTCTATCTGGTATATCTTCGGAGATTCTTTTGGTTGAGGTCCGGCGGGCAACACTCTGATCATAAATTTCGATGATTCTTGTTTGATGATTCTTGTTGTTGTTGTTGTTGTTGCTGGTGTTGTTGCTGTTGCTGCTGCTGTTGTTACTGTTGCTGTTGTTTGTTGTTTGTTGTTTGTTGTTCTTGTTTTTGTTCTTCTTGTTGTTGTTGCCGCTGTTACCCGTGCAGATTTTTTCTCAGTCCTGTAGTGGCCGAACATCGTCAAATAGGTGGTGTTTCCACGGTTTTTTTTGAACCTCTCGGGCCTCGGGGCAAAAAAACACCGTAAATACTGATGTTTTTTTGCACCTCGGAAACTCACCCCACGGTATTTAGGATGTTTTTGCCTCTGGTAACAAAAATCACGGTATTTACCGTGTTTTTTGCCAGTGCCTAGCAAAAACACTGGTATTTATTGGTAATTATTTACGCAGTTTTCAGCATGTTGCAAGAAGTACTTTTTCCATGCCAAAGGCACAAAAACACTGTAATTATACAGTAAATTACAATGTTTCGGGTCTGCTCTTTGGGTTCGTGGAGGGGGCGGAGGGGTGGGGTACTGCAATGACTGTGACGTCCCCTTTACTTCGGAAAGCAAAACTCAAGGTAGCCCCACTCGAGCTACCTTTCGTGATAAACTTCTTAAATAAATTTGGTCTTCATCCATGAGAACCCTCCAGTTATCAGGCGTGGAGCCTTGGTGCAGACCATTTCTTGTGAAGGGAATGAGGCAAGAAGCCTCTCACTTCTCTCATCTTCTTTCATCTTTTCTCTAGGTGGCCCGTGTGGCCAAGAAATCTGAGCCATGGGCGACCAGAAAAAGATCGCGGTCATTTGCGCTCCTCGATGAGTCACAATTCGTCCACACTCACACCCTGCCATCGCATCAGGTTTCCATTCCGAAGCAAGACGATGACACTAACGTGTTTAATATTGCCACACACACAAATATAATATATATATATATATTATATAAGATCATATATAATGTGGGACGCCGATTAGCACGGGGATGCACATAGTGTGTAAAGTTTTCCCATAATGATTCTGAATCTGCCGAAATGATTGGATGGTGCACTATTGAGTAAAGTTTTTTTGGTATTTTTCAGTTGTTGTTTAAGCATTCCAATTCTTTTTCAGTTTTTCCATTTTGTTCAGCATTTTCATTTTTTCATATTTTTTACTGTAACATTTTTGAAATTGATTAATTAATGAATTAATTCATGATTAGTTAACTAAATTTAATTAACTTATGAATATATTTGTTTGTTGTGGTTATCATCTATTGTGTCCAGCCGTTGTCTGAAGAAAGATTTTTTTGGGTTGTGACCCATCAGCAATATATAGGATGCCTTATTAAAACACTAGTAAGAAACAGCAGCCAAACAATTTTTCAAGCGGGTAGTACATGAGCAACCCTGATCCTCAATAGTCTATTGTGTCCAGCTGTTGCCTGAGGTGACACATTTTCAAACATTCTTTTTACATCCTTTTACCCTTTCCTTTGCTAAAACTTCTTTCTTTTACTTTCTTAGTTCTATTTTTTTGGAATTCTGAGAAAATCCATTTCCCAAACAAATACATGATGCCTTATGACAACCCAATTAAAAAAAACAGCACCCAAACAATTTTTCAAGGGGGTAGCCCATGAGCAACATTGATCCTCAATAGATCTCAATAGTATGTTTGTTGTGGTGGCCCTCTATTCTGTCCAGCTGTTGTCCGAGGTGAAAATTTTCAAACATTCCTTCTAATTGTTTCCTTTGCCAAAGTTTTGCTTCTTTTACTTAGCTCCATTCTTCTTGGAATCAAAATCAAAAGGTTTTTCCAAAGGATGAACTTCCGCCAACCAAAAACATCCATGAATGACCATGATCTTCAATAGTATGTTTGTTGTGTGGGTCCTCTATTGTGTCATTTTTTTTTTGAAACGTTTTTTTTTTGCAAAATCATGTTCTCCTTTCCTTTGCTATAGTTTTTGTCTCTTACTTAGTTCAATTCTCCTGGCATCCCCTCCTTGATTTCTATGGTGTTTTTATGGGATTTTTTAAACATTTCTATGGGAATTCTATGTAATTTCTATGGTGTTTCTATGATACTCTATAGTGTTTCTAAAGGTGTGTTTATGGTAGTTCTGTGGGATTCCTATAAGGATGTCTATGGGATTTCCTTTGGATTCCTATCGGGTTTCTGTGGTATTTCTATGATCTTTCTATGGGATTTCTTTGGGATTTCCATGATATCCCTTGTTGGTTTTCTATGATATTTCTATGGGAGTTCTTTGGGATTTCCATGATATTCCTTTTGGATTTCTATGATATTGGATTCCTGTGTGATTTCTATGGGATTTCCATGGTGGTTCTTTAGAATTTCTCTGGGATTTCAAAGGGATGTCTGTGGGATTTCCAATGGATTTTATCATTATTTTATGGGATCCCTATGATATTTCTATAATTTTTCTATGGGATTCCTCTGGGGTTTCTGTGGGATTTCCATGAAATTTATATGGGATTTCTATGATATTTCTATCGTATTAACCACTATTGGAGTTCTATGGGATGCCGATGTTATTTCTATGGAACTTCCATGATGTTTCTATGATATTTCTACGAGATTACTATGTGAATTCTGAAGGGATGCTATGGGAATTCTATGGTATTCTTAAGGGATTTCCATTGGATTCCTATGGGGTTTCTATGTAATTTCTATAATGTTTCTATGGGATTCCTATGGCATTACTATGGGATTCCTATGGCATTCCTATGGGATGTTTGAGGGAATTCTATGGGATTCTTATGGGATTTCTTTGTGGCTCCTATGCTATTCCATGTTATATCATCGGGGTGCCAATTCATTATGTGAAGTTGTGCAGGAGTTTTAGAGCGGTCTAACTTTTGTGCATAGGCCTCAGGCTTTAAAATGCACAAAAACAATGAAAACTGGCTCTGCAATAAAATGCCTTGCCACCAAATTCATGCTTGAATGTGCATCCAACATCATCCAATTTCATGAAAAAAATTGAAGACCCTCAGAAACGCATCTTTAAAAAGAGGTCAGGAAATCCATTTTAGATAGGGGTATTTTAGAGTGAAGGTGCCCAAATATTTAATGTGTTTTTTTTAATAGCATTCTATAGCAACAAAATACGGTGGCATTCTTTCGTGGCAATTCCTTAAAATTACTTAAAAATCCTTTAAATTCATTAAAATTCCAAAAAAAACATTAAAAAACCTTAAATATCCTTTAAAATTTAAAAACATTAAAGATCCTTAAAAATCCTCGGAATTCCTTCAAATTCCGTCAAATTCCTTTAAATTCCTTAAAAATCCTCTAAGGTTCCTTAAAATTCCTTAAAACTCTCTAAATTCCTTAAATTTCCTTATAATTCCTTTAAATTTCCTGGAAAAACACTGGTTCCATTCTGCAATAAAATGCTCCAAGCAAACATTTTTGTGCAATAAAATGAGAATGGAATCTTAACATGTTAAAAATCATCAGGATTTACCTTTACAATAAAATGCTTAGCCCAACCCCCCAACAATAAAATGACTAGCCTGACATCAATTTTAAAATTCCAATACATTAAGAATTTCGTTTAAACTATGCACAGGTTCACCAGTTCTAGAGTGGAAATTGCCACGGGGATGTTATATCTATGTTTTTTTTATGGGATTTCTGTGGGGTTCCTTTGGGATTTCCATGATATTTCTACGGTTTTTCTATTTGATTCCTATGATATTTCTATGAGATTCCTATGGGATTTAAAAAGGATTTCTATGGTATTTATATGATATTTCTAGAGGATTTCTTTGGGAATTCTATGGGATTTCCATGAGGTTTCTTTGGAATTTCTATGGGGTTCCTATGGGGTTTCAAAAGGACGCCTGTGGGATACCCATTGGATTCCTGTAGGATTTCTATGGAATTTCTATGATGTTTCTTTGGGATTTCTTTGGGATTACTATGGCTCCTATGGCATTCCTATGGGAGTTCCATGATGTTTCTATGATATTTCTATGGGATTACTATGGGATTCCTGAGGGAATTCTATGGGATTCTTATTGGTGTTCTTTGTAGTTCCTATGCTATTTCATGTTATTTCTATGGGGGTTCTGTGGGATTCCTGTTGGATTTCCTTGATATTTCTATGATAGTCCTATTGGATTACTATGGGATGTCAATTGAGAGTAAGCTGAAATCAATTGAAAATAAATTCAAACTAAATTGAAATCAATTGAAAACCAATTGAAAGTAAGTTGGCATCAATTGAAAACCAATTGAACGTAAAGTGACATCAATTGAAAACCAATTGAAAGTAAGTTGAAACCAATTGAAACTTAATTGAACGTAAATTGAAAATGCAATTAAATCTGTTGAAAGTAAAATTAAATCAATTGAAAGTAAATTGAAATCAATTGAAAGTAAATTGAAAGTAAATTGAAATCAATTGAAAGTAAGTTGAAACCGATTGAAAGTAAATTGAAATCAATTGAAAGTAAATTGAAATCAATTGAAATCAATTGAAAGTAAATTAACATCAATTGAAAGTAAATTGAAAATCAATTTTGAAATCAATTGATCCCATTTTGTTGAGGACCTGGCACTTAAAAAATCCACCCGAAAGTGGATCCAAAAATTGTTTGAGGGGGGGGCGACACTAATCAGCATCCAACATTATATAATCATATATAATCTACCTATCTGTCTATCTATCTGATCTAATCTAATCTAACCTAATCTAACCTAACCTAACCTAATCTAATCTAATCTATCTGTATCTATCTATCTATCTATCTGTCTATCTATCTATCCATCCATCTATCTATCTATCTACCTATCTATCTATCTATTTACGTCAAATGCAAAGAATGGCATCAAAAATTACAGTAAGAGCATTAGAAATCCATTGGATCAGGTTGAAAAGGCTGCCCGAAGTTTCCAGCATTGCAAGCGGAAAGAAGAGATTTGGAAGTCCAAGCTTTTTCTGCACTAAGTGCCGCACAGGTGGGCGCAAGTGTAAGGTAAGTCTGGCCCCCTGTGGGACTTCTCTTCATAGTAGGCCCTGTATATTCCTAAGCGCTCCAGAGATTGAGCATGCAACCCAATCAGCCACGCTATGTAGCAAAATCGTCGAAAGTGGCACCTATCACAACCACTGATTCTGGCAGAACCATCAGAGCTCCCAACTCCAAATGGTCATCGCCTCAAGGTACAAGTCGCAATTGGTACTGCGATACATGGTCGCTAATTTAAGCTATTTAACGGTTATTTGTTCATTCTGTGATTTAGCGCACTTCATCCCTTTCAAACTGCGAACGTGTTCAAAAAGGATCGAAAAGGAATACTTTACTAGGAACCTGGAGACATTGGCAACAAATATAATATGTACTGTATATATATATATACTGTCTATTTATATATATATGGCAATATATATGGCAACATGATGTACTTACTGCCAAACAATCGCAAATAAATGCAAATAATCTATAAGACGAGGATTTTGCATCTTGCGGGAGACACGCACAAAATCCGATCACAAAGGGTTTTGATCCACTCATAGTGATTGAACCCTCTGACCAATTTGTCACACAGCTGCAGCAGCACATGTGCGAACTCTGGGGTCCCTTGCCCCAACAATGCCGGCTAGAAATCCGTAGAAAACTGCATCCGAAACATCGGATGAAATGGCCTCAAAGTTGGAAGGACTGGCCATGAAGGCACTGGAAGCAGAAGAAGCAACCGATAAGCAACTGCTTACAGGCTTTGTGTCAACACATTCTACTCCTTGTTGATGCTCACCCATATGCCCAGAAGTGCGTTGGAGGGATTCATGATACTCCTCTTTGAGGGAAACATGGCTGGTTGAAAGCCAAGAAGTGCTTGCTTGTTTGCCAATCTATATGTCTGGCACAGTTCTTAGAAGGCATCTGAAGTGCCCGTGGGTACAGAGAGAGTCCTACTCAAGTTGCTCTCGCCTAAAGCCATCTCGTCCTATGGCTTGCAATAAACAAACAAATCAAGACCCAGACCCACCAAAAAACAATGGAAGCTGCAAGGTCAACGAAACAGCCCTTTAGCCTCAGGTTTCGATGCGAATTGGATTTGTAGCAAACATCGAACAAATAGCAAAACAAAGCACACAACAAGACAATAAGACAGTGAAACAGTCAAACACCCACCTGGTTGCTGATATATGCTGATATATATATATATATATATGTATATGTTTGGTGTGGTTGTGTACCTCCTATACTCTTGGGGTGTAGGTCTAGCTTCTGGGAAAATAATCTGTATGCTACTGACTTCTGATAAACTGCTGCAATGATGGAACAGGTCTTGAAATCCACAATGAGGTGAGTCAATGCATGGAAGACAGGAGGCTAACATATGAAGTGCACAGAACATGGGGAAAAATGCCTCTACAAAACAACGAGGTCTTGACAACGCCGTGGTATTTTGCTTGGACAAGGATACACGTGTACTGCACATGTAGGATCATGCACGTTTCAGTTATAATAGATACGGCAAAATGAATATATTCTATTATATTCTGCAATATTCTGCTTTAATGTGGCACAATCCAGGCAGCGTGAGGCAATGTGAACAGGGTAATCTAATTAAGCTCGAAACCGAAAACCCTGACATTTTTGCATCTTGTTTCATCGTTATTTCATTTTCACCGAAGGAAATTTAGAATTTAGAAGTCAAACTTGCGACAATATGGACAGATGGAAAAAGCAGATGTGGGAAGAGTCAGAGAAGAGAAGAGAAGAGACGAGAAGAGAAGAGAAGAGAAGAGAAGAGGAAGAGTCAGAAGAAAGAAGATGCAGGTGCGGGAAAAGGTAGAAAAGCCGCAAACATTATGTTTTTCCAATGATTTGTGGCTCCGGATGGTCGAAAAGTAGGATCCCTAAAAGCGGCGGGTGCGAAGCCATCTGGCTAGATGAGAGATGAAAAATTGCGCGCTGTTGTGGCGCGAAGCACATTTGGAAGTCAAACTGTAGAATGTAGAGATCACCTCACGTTCGGACCACTTTTGGAAGTTGAGATGTCGAAAAAGTGCATGCCGTTGTGGCGCGAAGCACATTTCGAAGTCAAAATGCGCAAAGCACACAAGGTTCGGAGAAATTTTGGAAGTTGAGATGTCGAAAAAGTGCGCGCCGTTGTGGCGCCAAGCACATTTCCAAGTCAAAATGTTAAAAGCACAACATGCTCGGACCACTTTTGAAGGTTCAGATGTGGTTGCATTGAAGAGGATCTGGAAAGATGCATTTCGCGTGGCAGGCGCAATACAAGAGACATGTTCATCAGAGATGTTAGGAGGTCAGGGCGCTGATTTCCTCAGAAGGGTTGCATTTTGTAGCATCAGATCTTCAGGTTTGCTCAGATGATTTTGCGTGACAGGTGCAATACTTTAGACAAATGGAGTGGACAAATTGCAAAACGCATTGGTACGAGGCCGTCAGCTCTGCTTTCCATTTTTGAAGGAAGTCTCCGAGAATTGCTTCGCTTTTGATGCTGTCAACTTCGATAATGGAGGAAGTCTTGCAAAATTGCTTCGTTTTTGACGTTGTCATGTTGGAAAACTGTGGAAGTCTAGCAGAATTTCTTCGTTCTTGACGTTGTCAACTTCGATCATTGAGGGGGTCTCGCAGGATTGCTTCGTTTTCAAGATACATATAGATAGATAGATAGATTAGATTAGATTATAGTAGGTTAGATTAGAGTAGATTAGATTAGGTTAGATTAGATTATATAGGTTAGATTAGATAGATAGATAGATAGATAGACTGGACTGTCCCCCCTTACACCAACAGTCACCACAATCCAGACCACAAAAAAAAACACAAGCACGATGGACCCAAAATGCCATGGAGAAGTTGGGTTTGCACATTTTGTCAGCCTACCAACCCACAAAGAAGTTGGGTTTTTCACAGCATGAACCCAATAGTTTATAAAGAAGTTGGGTTTGTATATACTTTGACCGGAAAAGGCCAATGAGAGCTTAGGTATGTATATTGAAAAATCCTGGGCAATCCAGCACAGAGACTCTGATTATGCACCATCCTATCGAACCAAAGGAGGCCCACCAAATAAATGGGTTTATGCTTTGTAGGCTGCCCCCAGAATGATGTTGTTGGATAAAATTTATTCATGACTAATATGACTTATCACAGAAAAACAATCAATCATATCTCATTACATATGACGCATGCGACAGAATCATGTGTGCTGATACTCTGACACACCCTAGTCTTTACTTTGAAAAGCTTTGCTTCTCAGTTTAAAAGTATCATTGGCCGAAGGTTTTTCATATCGAATCATATGAATCACATGAATCATTTCATTGACTTGGCTGCCTGGTGTTCAAGCTAACCTGGGGCTTCACACTAACAGGTGCCAGAGATGGCCACACCAACGGGTTCCAGAGCTGGCCACACTAACAGGTGCCAGAGATTGCCACACTAACGGGTGCCAGAGCTGGCCACACTAACGGGTGCCAGAACTGGCCACACTAACGGGTGCCAGAGCTGGCCACACTAACGGGTGGCACGGCCCTCAAGAAGGATCCAGGCTCAGGCTGGGCTGGCAGGCCCGTCGACTGCAGGTTCAGGACAACCTGGGGATTTGGGGGGGGCTGCTGTTGTAAACTTTTGGGCTGGGAAGTTGTGCTTTTTAAGCCTAAACGTTGTGTTTTTTTTGTGCTTTTTCTTGTGGTTAGTTGTGCTGTTTGTTGTGCTAATTTTTGTGATCAAATCATCAGGGAGTTTGTGCACTTTTTGTGCTTTTTTTGTTGATGAAGTTGTGATGTTTGTTGTGCTAATTTTTGTGACCAAATCATCAGGGAAGTTGTGCACTTTTTGTGCTTTTTTTGTTGATGAAGTTGTGGTCGGTGCCAAATATAAAATCAATTAGATGTTTTTATTTTTTCTTGGCTTGTTGTTGTGCAAAAATGATCAGGGAAGTTGTGCTCTTTAAGCCTAAACGTTGTGGGTTTTGTTGTGCTTTTTCTTGTGGTTAGTTGTGCTGTTTGTTGTGCTAATTTTTGTGATCAAATCATCAGGGAAGTTGTGCACTTTTTGTGCTCTTTTTGCATGGAAGTTGTGCTTTTGATATTTTCTACCTTTTCCAAAAGCACGGCCGAGAGCACAAACAAAACACAACATCAAACAAGGGTTTTCCCTTAACAAAATTTGTCCCTTAGCAAAATTTGCCCCTTAGAAAAACTTGTCACTGAAAAAAATGTCCCTTAGCAACATTTTCCCCTTAGCAAAATTTGCCCCTTAGCAAAACTTGTCACTGAGCAAAATTCGTCCCTTAGCAAAATTTGTCCCTGAGCAAAACTTGTCCCTGAGCAAAATTTGTCCCTTAGCAAAACTTGTCCCTTAGCAAAATTTGTCCCTTAGCAAAACTTGTCCCTTAGCAAAATTTGTCCCTTAGCAAAACTTGTCACTGAAAAATTTGTCCCTTAGCAAAACTTTCCCCTTAGCAAATTTGTCCCTGAGCAAAACTTGTCATTGAACTAGACGACGGATGGCCCGAGAGCGTAGAGGAGCAGAGTCTTCTGTTGTTAGTATGTAGACACTAAATTACAAGACAATATATTAAAGATGTATTATAAGCAGACGAGAAGAGTAGTATCAAAACAATATATTACAAGTACAAGACAATAGTTTGCATCGTATCTTTCGTAAAGTTACAGACAGACGCTTTTACACACAAAACCTTTTACAAACAGACGCTTTTATTATACACACAGACGCTTTTACACACAGAGCTTTTACACACAGACGCTTTTACACACAGACGCTTTTACACACAGAGACTTTTACACACAGACACTTTTACACACAGACACTTTTACACACAACACTTTTACACACAAATATTTTTACACACAGACGCTTTTACACACAGAGGCTTTTACACACAGACGCTTTTACACACAGACGCTTTTACACACAGACGCTTTTTTTACACACAGAGGCTTTTACACACAGAAGCTTTTACACACAGAGGCTTTTACACAGCAGACACACAGAGGCTTTTACACACAGAAGCTTTTACACACAGCACAGACGCTTTTACACACAGACGCTTTTACACACAGACGCTTTTACACACAGACGATTTTACACACAGACGCTTTTACACACAGACGCTTTTACACACACAAAGCTTTTCAAACACTTTTACACACAGACACAGCTTTTAAAGCTTTTACACACACTTTTACACACAGACGCTTTTACACACAAACGCTTTTACTTTTACACACTTTTACACACAAACACTTTTACACACAAACGCTTTTTTTACACCACAAATGCTTTTACACACAAACACTTTTACACACAAACACTTTTACACAAACATTTTTACACACAGACGCTTTTGCACACAGAAGCTTTTGCACGCAAACGCTTTTACACACAGAAACTTTTACACACAGACGCTTTTACACACAGACCTTTTAGACACAGACGCTTTTACACACAGAAGCTTTTACACACAGCTTTCATGCTCTTTTACACACAGACGCTTTTACACACAAACGCTTTTACACACAAACGCTTTTACACACAGACGCTTTTACACACAGACGCTTTTACACACAGCTTTTACACACAGACGCTTTTACACACAAACACTTTTACACACAAGCACTTTTACACAGAAACACTTTTACACACAGACGCTTTGACACACAGACGCTTTTACACACAGACGCTTTTACACACAGAAGCTTTTACACACAGAAGCTTTTACACACAGACGCTTTTTCACACAGACTCTTTTACACACAGACGCTTTTACACACAGACTCTTTTACACACAGACGCATTTACACACAGACACTTTTACACACAAACACTTTTACACACAAACACTTTTACACACAAACACTTTTACACACAAGCACTTTTACACAGAAACACTTTTACACACAGACGCTTTGACACACAGACGCTTTTACACACAGACGCTTTTACACACAGAAGCTTTTACACACAGAAGCTTTTACACACAGACGCTTTTTCACACAGACTCTTTTACACACAGACGCTTTTACACACAGACTCTTTTACACACAGACGCGTTTACACACAGACGCTGTTACACACAGAAGCTTTTACACACAGAAGCTTTTACACACAGACGCTTTTTCACACAGACTCTTTTACACACAGACGCTTTTACACACAGACATACACAGACTCTTTTACACACAGAAGCTTTGACGATGGAACCTCATTTCGTGCGAAAGGGTTGCGCGGACAAGTTGGAAATCGCAATTTTTCCTCAGTTTTTGACGATCGAACCTCATTTCGTGCGAAAGGGTTGCCCGGGGCCACTTGCAACTCGTAATTTTTCCTCAGTTTTTGACGATCGAACCTCATTTCGTGCGAAAGGCTGGCGATTGCACCTTGGAAATCGCAATTTTTCCTCAGTTTTTGACGATCGAGCCTCATTTCGTGCGAAAGGGTTGCGCCGGACCACTTGAAATCGCAATTTTTCCTCAGTTTTTGACGATCGAACCTCATTTCGTGCGAAAGGTTTCGCGGGACGACTTGGAAATCGCCATTTTACCTCAGTTTTTGACGATCGAACCTCATTTCGTGCGAAAGGGTTGCGCGGACAAGTTGGAAATCACAATTTTTCCTCAGTTTTTGACGATCGAACCTCATTTCGTGCGAAAGGGTTGCCCGGGGCCACTTGCAACTCGTAATTTTTCCTCAGTTTTTGACGATCGAACCTCATTTCGTGCGAAAGGGTTGCGTTTCGTGGCGTCTCGTTGCCACTGCCCCTGCTCCCGCCTTCAAAAGGAAAAGAAGGAGAGGGCAAGAAGGCAAGAGGGCAAGAGGGCAAGAGGGCAATAGGACAAGAGGGCAAGAAGGCAAGAGGGCAAGAGGGCAAGAGGGCAAGAGGTGTGAGAAGATGTGAGAAGATGTGAGAAGATGTGAGAAGATGTGAGAAGATGTGAGAGAAGATGAAAGAAGATGTGAGAAGATGTGAGAAGATGTGAGAAGATGTGAGAAGATGTGAGAAGATGTGAGAAGATGTGAGAAGATGTGAGAAGATGTGCGAAGATGTGAAGGTGAGAAGATGTGAAGATGAGAAGATGAGAAGATGTGAAGGTGAGAAGGTGACAAGATGTGAAGGTGAGAAGATGTGAAGATGAGAAGATGTGAAGATGAGAAGATGTGAGAAGATGAGAAGATGTGAGAAGATGTGAAGATGAGAAGATGTGAAGATGAGAAGATGTGATGATGAGATGTGAAGATGAGAAGATGTTTTACAGGCCCCCACTATTGGAAGAACCCTGCGCTCAGACGCTCTCGGGAAAATTTGTCCCTTAGCAAAATTTTCCCCTTAGCAAAATGTGTCCCTTAGCAAAATTTGTCCCTTAGCAAAACTTGTCCCTGAGCAAAACTTGTCCCTGAGCAAAATTTGTCCCTTAGCAAAACTTGTCACTGAGCAAAATTTGTCCCTTAGCAAAATGTGTCCCTTAGCAAACTCGTCCCTGCACTGCTGCCTTTCCCTTTGCCCAAAAGGGATTTTATCCAACAAAATCTCTGCAAGCTCCAAATGAATAGATTTGATCTGGTTCCAAGTAGGCTGCCCCCAGAGTGATTTCATACTTCGGTTCAACATCAGAAAAATTTGGATTGAGAAGATTGGGCCTCTCAAATTGTTTGTGGTTTTGGTCCCTGGGTTGTTGTGCCATTTTGGCTGGGAAGTTACAATTAAAATCCATTATTCCACTGTTAGTGTGGGGGTCACTCCAATAGATAGATAGGTAGGTAGATAGATAGATAGATAGACAAACAAATGGATAGATAGACATATCAACAGATAGACAACTACCACCACACTACGCTACATTACAACTACAATTACCACTACACTACAACTACAACTTCAACTTCAACTCTAACTTCCACTTCAATTACACGACAGCTACAACTACCACTACCACCACAGCTACAACTACAAATGCAACTTCAATTTCAACTTCAACTACACCACAACTACAACTACAACTACCATTGCCACCACGGCTACTACTACAACTACCACTAAACTACACTACAACCACAACTACAAGTGCAGCTGCAACATACTGCAACCACAACTACATTCAACAACACTACAACTACAACTACAAACTACACCACACCACACCACACTACATTCAGCAGTTGTGGGTGAGGTGACCACTGCAACAATTGCAAAAGGAACAAATGCAACCACGTTTCGGTCCATCAGTGGATTCGCTGTGAATTCCATGCATCACAACAACTCACCTCTCCTATAGCTTCCTATCCTTGAAACTTCCGCCACTGCCTTGTGCAGTACTACTGGTACATTATATTATATATATATTAACTGTAGCTCACTAATTTTCATTATGTAACTATGTACAGTATATATCTTCATTTCAGGGCATGTGCTGAGGCTTGCACATTCGCAAGCGCTTGCGTGAAAGGCAGGTCTGGGAACACCCACGTCTTGAAAGGTGGACTCCCAGGAAAGGTTGAATTCAATGTTCCATTTCACAGCGCGTGACCCAAATGAATGAATACACATGAAAAATATGTTACTAACAGTTTTAACAATCACCACTTCCCACATCTTCCCACCCTATTAGTCTTCAGTAATTAATGATTCAGTGCAGCTGCAATGCCCAAAATTATCCAAAATGCCCCTGGAAGGCCTAGAACTTGCCGGCATGCAAGTTTCTGTGGGAAATTTGACGCATTTTGAAATACAGGTTCAGATAGGTTCAGAAGTTCTTCAGAAGCGCCATTCGCTGCGACCATCCTGAACTGGGTCACGCACTGACTCCGTGTCCGAGGTGGTGCCTGAGATGTCAAGTGCCGCTGCATCTAACGTGAGCTTCAAAGACCAACCAATTCATTCGTTCCCCACCTGCCGGGTGAGGGTTGTTAGATTTTATCAGAGCTGTTCTCCTCCTCCTCCTCCGCTGCCCCCGCCTCCACCTCCGCCTCCTCCGCCTCCTCACCCGCCGCCTCCTCCTCGCAGTCCAGATCCCAGTGGGCACAGCCGGACCTCCACCGCGAGCTCCAGATCCCACAGATCCCAGTGGGCACTGCCGGACCTCAACCACGACTTCCAGATCGCAGTGGGCACTGCCGGACCCCAACCGCGACTTCCAGATCGCAGTGGGCACTGCCGGACCTCAACGGGAAGAATGTCAGAAAAGATGTCAGATAGAATGTCAGAAGATATGCCAGATAGAATGCCAGAAGATATGCCAGAAGGTATGCCAAATAGAATGCCAGATAAAATGTCAGATAGAATGCCACAAAATATGCCAGATAGAATCCCAGAAGATTTGCCGGATAATATGCCAGAAGATATACCAGATAGAATGCCAGAAGGTATGCCAAATAGAATGCCAGATAAAATGTAAGATAGAATGCCACAAAATATGCCAGATAGAATCCCAGAAGATTTGCCAGATAATATGCCAGAAGATATGCCAGATAGAATGCCAGAAGATATGCCAGATAGAATGCCAGAAGGTATGCCAAATAGAATGCCAGATAAAATGTAAGATAGATATGCCAGAAGATATGCCAGAAGATATGCCAGATAAAATGCCAGATAGAATGCCAGAAGATATGTCAGAATATATGCCAGAAGATATGCCAGATAGAATGCCAGAAGATATGTCAAATATAATGCCAGAAGATATGCCAGAGAGAATGCCAGAAGATTTGCCAGATAGAATGCCAGAAGATATGCCAGAAGATATGCCAGAACATATGCCAGAAGATATGGCAAATAGAATGCCAGATAGAATGTCAGAAGATATGTCAGAT